TAAGAAATTTAAAATTATAAGTTCTCTGTTCGAGAGTTTTTGATTCGATCTCTTTGCTCTATGTCCTTCCTTTCTATTATACTCCTTAGATGATCTCTTTGTGATCAACCGTCTAAAAACTGTTGGATCGTTCTATAACTGCCCACTTTCCTCGTAATGGCCAACTTGTTATGGAACTACCTTTTTTAACTGCCGCCATTACTCTTTGTCGTCCAACCGTCTTCAATTAAGTTCCTTGAATCGTGGAACGTGATAGGGCTGCTTTAATAACTGCTTTGATAACTGCACTTCTTGATAACCACAACACTTCATGTTCGCTAAGACCTTGGGCGACTTGAAGGTTTGGGTGAGAATAGAGTAACAGCTCTGGGCGATTGCATGGCACTCCATTCGCTCAGATTCTGGGCGACTTGCAAACTTGGGCGATGGTGTTACCGCGTTCTTGGGCCTCCCTATTTGGGCCTTCATCTTGAATTGTTTGATTGGACTTCGTTCTTTGGGTTATCTGATTTGGGGATCCTCCAATTGGGCTTCATTCCTTGGGCCGTTCGATTTGGGCTAAATTTTTATGTGTCAACAATTTCATTTGGTTGTGGAAAGAGGAGTTGATCCAAAAGCAGGGCTTCGTTTGGTTTTGGAGAGAGAGAAATGAGTCAATTTCAAATGAGAAGAGTTAACTCAGCAGCCGTATGGAGTGAGAGAGAGAAAAAGTAGTCTTTATACTATAGATATTTAAATGAATAGTAGTAAACTGGATAATGAAAACTGCTGCCCACTTAAACTCAACAATGACTAGTAGGATATGATAGAGTCTTTTAAAGTAGTAAGTAGGATATATGAAACCTTCGTTTCAGCAAACAAATCAAAACTTCTCCTATTTTTACTAGTTGTAGGACAGTGCAACACATGACATTAGGTGTAATATATTGATTATTTCATATTCATAAATACATACATAAGTATCTCATCTAAGATTATTAATTTCGAAAAATCATTTTTTTACAAATGGCGATTGTGTTCTAGTTCATAAACAAGTCACGTTTACTTGCAAATAATTTTAGTTCCACTCTATATTTATGGATAGTGTAAACATCAAAGTCTTCAATTTTTAACATCATTTGCACTTTCATTTTCAACAATTTATTGACCTACGATTGAATTCTCGTTTTGATTATCACAAACAAATTGCGCTCATTTTTAAGAAATTGAATTCGAGTGTTTATAGCAATTATTGCAAAATTGAAAACATAAATATCGAGATGAAGAGAATTGCACATTGATGATCGACATGAAAATAAAATTGGCAAATGATACACGTTAAGACAAAAATCGAGCACTCACGTCAAATTGCAAATTGCTTTGAAGAAAAAGTCAAACGTCAAAAAAGTACGTATTTCAATTTGACGATCAAATTTTTACAAAATCACTTACCTTGAAAAATTAAATAAAATAATCATTCAAATGCCTACAATGATCAAAATTATCATGAACGAAAGGGTTCGAGGACATTCTGTCCATCCTAACGTTCGGATCTCCAATCGGACGTTCGATGCCCCAATAGCCAAAAATTCGATCATTCTTAATCTGACAGATAACCATTACTTTTGCACTATCCGGTTCAGACTTGGAGTGCGAATGACTCGTCCGGATCAACAGAAGTTCTGGCGATTTCACTGCTATAAATACTATTTCACTTTTCATTCACCAACTTTTTGAAAGGATTGAAGTGAGGCGTTATTGATCCCAACTACTATATTTTTCATCCTTCAAAAGATTAAATCATTTATTTCTTGAAATTATTTAAGCGAGTCAAATTATTGAAAATCACTCTTCTCACAAAAGTTATTCTACTCTAACACTTGAGCTATATCCATTGCTATATATTAAAGTGCCAGCCTACTTCTCTCTTGGTACTTAATTTTAACTATATTATTCATTAAGAAAGAAGATTTCATTTGTAAAATTCAATCTTCTTTTAATTGTGGGTCGTGTTGAAGTCTCATAAAGCTCAACGTTATATAAAGATCGGTGCTCCTTATTTGTAAGTCACTGAAAGCGTTTTAAAGGGTTGGATTGCACCATAAGTTAATCAATATAGTGAACAGGCCTTGCTCGAGCTGGATATCATGGTAATGGAGAACGTATATCGTTGCTTTGAACTGAACCTCCACAATTATGTCGTTTGCATCCTTTCTCTCTTTTATTTACCGCAATTATATTGTGCTCATTCCTTTTTCTTATTTGATTTTGTATTTGTGTGCATTTGTTTAATTGTTTCATTTGCTAATACATTGATTAAAGACTTGAATTAATTTTTGAATAAGTTTTGAAAAGCAATTCACCCCTTCTTGCTTAGTTATTCTTGGACTTACAATTGGTATCAGAGCAAAATGCTCACCTTTTTCTTTCTTTCATCTTTTTTTTAAGATTTCACAATCTTGATCAATGACTAACCACACTCTCCAAACTCTCGAGGGTCACTCTACTAATCGACCTTCTTTCTTTGATGCCACACATTATAATTATTAGAAATTTAGAATGATGATTTGTATTCAATTTATAGATTACAATATTTGGAAACTTGTTGAATATGGCCCTTACAAGCCAACCAAAACCATTAAGACAGATGGCCAACCTGATCAAATTATCCTTAAACTTAGAGAAGAATATGATGAAGATGATGAGAGAAAATCACCCCTAAATGCTAGAAGATGATGAGAGAAAATCACCCCTAAATGCTAGAGTTAAGAATGCACTTTTATTGTGCAATGGATAAAAATGAATTTAATCGCATTAGTAAATGTGATTCTACATATGACATTGGACATGCATTAGAAGTTACTCATGTTGACACTAGTAAGGTCAAGGAAACAAAAATCAATCACTTAGTTAACGAATTTGAAAATTTCTTCATGAAACAAGATGAACCTATCGTTGACATGATTACTCGCTTTACTGATATTGTTAATGGCCTCAAAGAATTTGATCGAAAAATTATTAATGGTGAGCTTGTAAGTAAAATATTTAGGTTACTATCGAAAGATTGGAGCTTATTAAGAATGCTAATAGAGAATACCAAAGATATTAATACATATCTTTTGGAAGAATTCTATTAAATATTCATGACTTATGAGCTCAACAATGCTGAAGGCAAGGACAAGACAAGAAAAAGCAAAGAAAAATCAACAAGTGACAACATAAACGATGAAGAGCTTGATAATTTGGTTATTCTTGTCAAAAAAATGGAGAGATTTTCGAAATAATTGAAAATTCCAAAAGAACGAAGGAAAAGGTGAAGAGGGGAGCAAGAAAATTATTTGCTAGGATTGTGATAAACCCAATCACAAAAGAATCGTGTGTCTAAACAAGAAGAAAATCATCAAGAAAAAGACACTACAAGCTACATGAGACGAAAGTGATGATGATGACCTTAATGAAAACGATAGCCCAGATGAAATTGCCAACATATGCTTCATGGAAATTGAAGACGAGGTGAATTCTATCGAAGAATGTTCATACAATGAATTATCTACTTCCTACGATGAAATGTTTGAAGAATTTGAAAAGTCTGCCTTAAATCATTCTATTCTTAATAAGAAAAATTATTTATTAAAAAATAAAACAAAGAAAATTTTGGAAAATCAAAAAGAAAATGTTAATTACGATTTATTGATCAAAGAAAATCTTCCCTAAAAAAAATCGAGGACTTGACAAAAATTATTTATAATTTTACTCAAGGTAAGAAGAATTTTGAATTAATGTTTGGTGATGAAAATGTGTCTTTTACAAAGGATGAATTTGATATACCTTTATTGAAACAAAAATTTCTTAAAAAACATATTTGTTAAAGCTTCAAACCCCTCTACTTTTAACATTACATGTAACTTTTTTAATAAAGATGGACACGTTGCGTTCAATTGTTTAACTAAAAAGAGGATACACTTTGAAAGCAAATATAAGTGGATTCGAAAATCCACTAAAACTAACTACCAAGTACTCGAACTTGTATGTGTACCGAAAATCAAAAATTAAATTGTTCTTGTAGTTGCAAAAAAAGAAGAAGAAGAAGCAAATGATTTTTGGATAGCTGATGCTCGAAACACACGATCGGAGATCAATCTCTATTGTCGAACTTCAAAAATGAAGGATGAAGATCATGTCACTTTTGGAGATAATGCCAAAGGAAAAAATACTGGCATTGGAAACATTGGTAACTATTCATCCACTTCTATTGAAAATGTCTTATTAATCGATAGCCTCAAACATACTTTGCTAAACATTAGTCAATTATGTTATAAATGTTACAATATTAAATTCGATTATTTCTTTTTATTTTATTCCAAAGGTTGGGAACAAAATAGTCAGAGAAAAAAAGCTGAGAATGAAATTGAGTAAGAATCCAAAGGTCGAGGACCTTTTCGTAATTGTCAATACATTTTCAAAAGACTTTCTATTTCTAAAAATGATCATGCTACTTATACATTAATTTTTACATCCTTCTTTACATTGTGCCACGTATCTTGACATCATTGAACAGTTTTCAAATACAACACACATTCCTGTTCATTTCAATTTGAAAATCAATGAAATGTCAAGCATAATGTAAGGAAAACAATGTACAAATGAATTTATCCTTCTAAAAAACATATTTTATCATTTGAAGAGTATAAATAAATTTAGAGGGTTAAAATTTTGAAATCTTCAACAAACTCTTTATATTTAACACTTAATTTTACTATTTACAGAAAATATTTATTATTTTTCTCTATTTTTTTATTTTATATAGCTTTTCTTTAGATTGTTTTATTATTTTTCAAAGTTAAAAATTAAAATATTTTGAATATATGTAATTATAAAGAGTGAGCTCTCTAAATTAAAATGTTAATTTAAAGAATTGTTTGGAACATGATTTTATATTTGACTTTTTAAAATAAATAACATCTCACTTTTTTGAAATGACAAAAAGACCCCCGACTGTTCCACTCTCTGCCCATTCTGACATCGAGAACCTTCCATGGACCCCAGTTTTCTGAAACCCTACTGAGACTCTAAAACCCCCAATCTCTAATCGGCCTCTTTCAACAAACAATACATCAATAAAACTTTGCAAAATGCACAGGGTCGTCTCAAGGCGTTCAGTCTCCGCTATCTTGCGTGCCGGCGGCTTACGCCACCGCAATTCCGCAGTCCCGCTTTCTTCTTCCATTCCCTTCGATCAATCGGTATATAATACGGGCCTTATATTACCGAGCTGTAACTTTGCTTGCATTTCTGTTTCTATATTTATAATCTTTTCTAATGCTTTGATACTGACCAGGCTGATGATGGTAAGACAGAAAAGAAATGGTTCTCGTTTTTAGCGACTGGCAGCTGTAATGCTACTGTTAAGCCTTTTAACTCAAGGAATGTGCCTGTACTGGGTTACCGCCTTGAGTCGACTTCTGCGGCACATGATTCATCAGGCCTTTCAGCTGAAAAATATGAGTACCAAGCCGAGGTAAGCAATTAGTGTTTTTTTTTTTTTATTAACTTAATTTCGAAATTTCTCTACCTATCAATTGAAAGTTGGGCAAATGAGGCGATGAAATGTAATTTCATTTTTGGTTCTTTGACAGGTTAGCCGTCTTATGGACCTTATTGTCAACAGCTTATACAGCAACAAGGAAGTTTTTCTTCGGGAACTTGTCAGGCACGTATTTGTTTATAGTCCACATTTTCACATTAATTTTTTTTTTGATCATTTATATTTCCTTGGAGTGTCTTCTGTTCATTCTTACGCATGCACCTTCAAATTGGATTTTGATTCTGGAAAGTAAATGAATTTTGGTTGGGTATAGTATGTGCGGAAACTAATTTTAAGTGATATTACTGTTCTGCTAATTATAGCCGGTTCTTGGGTAGTGGGATGGTAACTATTTTTAGGATTACAACTCAGAATTTTGGCATTCATGATCATCATTGTTTCGAAACTACTTACTAACAATTATTTATTGAAATATTTATAAAATTTGACCCTTGGCAAGGGGCTCTGGGGCAAATGCTAATCATAACCTTGTCATTTACTTTATGAATAAAAACATTTTTATCTGTTTTTGCTCTTGTTATTATATCATTTGTTTTTGTACTGTTTGCTTATGTCTGTGCATAGTATTCACTTTTTAGGTAACTCTAGTTGGAAACCCACAATATGGTTTCTTATTCTGCCAACAAACTGCTTCTAACAAAATCTTTGTTTTACCCCACAGCAATGCAAGCGATGCCTTGGACAAGCTGCGGTTCCTTAGTGTTACGGAACCAGATCTTTTAAAAGATGCAGCTGATCTTGATATACGCATACAGACTGACAAAGATAATGGGATAATTACAATTACGTAAGCATTATGCAGTTTGGGCCATATTTTAGCTTGACTTAATTTCCTGGAAGTATGACTTTTAATGTTCTGTCCAGGGATTCTGGGATTGGCATGACACGCCAGGAACTTATTGATTGCCTTGGTACCATTGCACAAAGTGGAACTGCAAAGTTCCTGAAAGCATTGAAGGTGTGACTATTTTGACAATTCTTTCATTTTATTGTCTAATATTTTGGAAAATGTGAACTATCATTTTGCTTTGCCTGAAGAGGAGTATAATGTTTGATAGGAGAGTAAGGATGCTGGTGCTGACAGCAATTTAATTGGCCAGTTTGGTGTGGGCTTCTATTCGGCCTTCCTTGTTTCTGAGCGGGTATGTCTTATACCCAAACTAATCTAGATTTCTTCTAAATCAATTGAATTTTTGTTTTCTGTTTTCAGCTGTTCACATTAGCCTAATGTTGTTTCTCATTGCAAGGTCGAAGTCTCGACAAAGAGCCCTAAATCTGACAGGCAATATGTATGGGAAGGAGAGGTCAACTCTAGCTCCTATACCATTCGAGAGGAGACTGATCCATCGAAACTCATTCCTAGAGGGACTCGTCTAACTTTATATCTTAAGGTTGGTGCATGTGTTGCTTAGTGTTGTTTTTGCTTTTACATTGCTGAGTTTGGAACTTTTCTATTGTTTTACAGCGAGATGACAAAGGGTTTGCACATCCTGAAAGAATCCAGAGACTTGTGCAAAACTATTCTCAGTTTGTTTCCTTCCCAATTTACACTTGGCAAGAGAAGGGATACACTAAAGAGGTATGGGAAATCTAATGTTTTTTCAGTTTCTTTTGGCTCTATTTTTCTGATTTATCCTTGAATTCATCTCTCTGTGATCCGATGTATTATCTACTGCTTTTCACTTGCCCCAAGCCAACGGAAAAGCTAAGCAAGTGTGCATACTGGGATTCCTTTTATATAAAAGAAAGCCAATACTTATGAGGCGCTTACAGAAGACTGTAGCACAAAATATTCTTCAATTTACTTCCCAAGTATCTACAATTCTGTCATGTACTCGCGACCAACTTCTGTTTTTATATTCTTCTCATTTTGGCTCCATTCCAGGTCGAGGTTGACGAGGATCCAGTTGAAGCCAAGAAGGATGACCGAGATGAGAAAACTGAGGTAGTCTACTGCAATCTTATTGATTTTTTCCTTTAATCTGGAATGATGTATGTAATCCCACTTCAGTTCAAAGTCACTTGTTGACAATTTTATGATGCTTCTAGCAGAAGAAGAAGAAGACTAAAACCGTAGTTGAGAAATATTGGGATTGGGAGCTTACGAATGAGACTCAGCCAATATGGGTGAGCCATTGAAAGGCTATTTCTACTTTACCCATTAAGAGCTATTTTTACGTGTAACTAAATCGTAATGTTTCTGATTAATGTCAGCTTCGTAACCCCAAGGAAGTCACTACAGAGGAATACAATGAGTTTTACAAGAAAACCTTTAATGAATACTTGGAACCTCTTGCATCTTCACATTTTACTACTGAGGTAATATTGATTACCATACTTACCTGAAAATTTGCATAGACTACTATGTATCTTGATGTACTTCAGTTTGATAATTATCTATTTTTCCAGTTGACAGCATGTTTTCAAGTAGTTAGTTGTGTAGAGTTGATAACATATCCTAGAGGCCTGATAATAAATAATCTTTCTGGCAATGGAAGTAAAATCAAGAAGCATTAAGTTCTTAAAAAATATATGCCTGCTTACTTTGTGGTTGGTTCACAAGTATCTACATAACTGGGGTCATTTACTCTGGCAGGGTGAAGTGGAGTTTAGGTCCGTCCTTTATGTACCATCCATTGCACCCACCGGGAAGGATGACATCGTCAATACTAAGACGAAGAACATACGGCTGTATGTCAAACGGGTTTTCATTTCCGATGATTTTGATGGTGAATTGGTGAGACAAATCTAAGTGTTCCCAATTATGACATTAATCCTCGAACTATTGATAACTGATTGCCATTTTCGTTTATGGAATAGTTCCCTCGATATTTAAGCTTCATCAAAGGTGTTGTCGACTCAAACGATCTTCCATTGAACATCTCACGAGAAATTCTTCAAGAGAGTCGCATTGTAAGACTACAAGCTAAATGATTTATTATTAGGGACTACTGCTTTCCTATTATAGTCATGGTTCTGACTATTCTTTGTTTGCTTATTTAAGGTGCGCATTATGAGGAAACGATTGGTTCGTAAGGCATTCGACATGATTCTGGGCATAACTATGAGTGAGAACAGAGACGTATGTTTCTACTTTATTACGTTGTTTCTCTTATGGATTTCCAAAGTCTAGAAGATTTTACCTGTCCTTTTTGATGGGGTTAGTTTCTTCTTTTTCTAGTTGTCTTCATGGTGCTTTCTTTACAGGATTATGCAAGGTTCTGGGAAAATTTTGGCAAACACCTAAAGTTGGGCTGCATTGAAGATCGTGAGAATCACAAGCGCATTGCTCCGCTGCTACGATTTTTTTCTTCTCAAAGTGAGGAAGATATGATCAGTTTTGATGAGTATGTTGAGAACATGAAACCTGATCAGAAAGATATCTATTACATTGCTGCTGATAGTGTAACGAGTGCAAAGAATGCACCATTTCTGGAGAAACTTGTTGAAAAGGATATTGAAGTATGCATTCTTTGCTGACTCAAATTGATTTCTCATCTATTAAATTTTTTCTTGTTTCGTAACCTATGCATTTTTCTTCATGTAGGTACTATTTCTGGTGGATCCTATTGATGAGGTTGCCATCCAAAACCTTAAATCATACAAGGAGAAAAATTTTGTCGACATTAGCAAAGAAGATCTAGATCTGGGTTAGTTTGTTGAAACCTTGTTATTTTATTTGTTAATTACTGCCTGTGGTCTGAATTGGACTTTTTTGTCTTTTTACTGTTGGCCCCATCGCAAGCACCTACAACGTCATGATCACATTTAACTTCCAAATTTGAGCTGCTTCTCAATTCTTTCCCATATTACTGTTGCAGTTATTAACAGCTAAAGGTTTTGGAAGAACCTTGTCACCTATCATATACTGGGGCCAAAATTTGAAAAATAAGCAGAACTCACATCATGTCTTTAGCTTCTACCAAGTAGTCGTTCTAAGTAATGTTACAACAACTAAGGATTACTTTTGTGGGATTTGGAACCTTATATGTGTATAAATTATTTGGAAATAGCATGATAGTGAACCATACTTGTCACTTTGCGCAAGAAATGCCTGCTCTGTAACCTAATGATTCAGTTTGATGGCATGGTTATTTGGTTCAAAAGTCTGGTATTGAAAATGATGGCTGTCAAATTAACATTCTAATTGTGACACAATGCGATTAAAGCATTTCGAATCTTGGAATAAATAGTATAACAGGGTATGGTTATGAGTTTTGACAGAAATACTGAAAAATAATCTATACAAGAATATTCGTGTCTAGGCAAAATGCTATTACAGCAAAGATCATCTAGTGTGAACATTAGATGCGTCTTCACTGCTGGAGATGGTACTCCAATCCACTGTCAAAAATTCAACGAGGAACGAATCTTTTAGGAGATTGAATATAAGATATCCAGGCCCATGAAATAATGTAAATTATGATTTTATGGTCTTAGAAAATGAATAGACAACTGTCCAATTGTACAAATGGGGTAACAGCCATGTATGTTCTTTGAAAATTGGTTGAAGCCAATGTTCTAGTTCATGATTGATGCTGTGTCCAGATGGTTTGTTGGAGTTGTTCTCTTTCTTCAATATATGCTATTGCAGGACATCGATCTCTAGCGTTCTTGACATCTTGTTATAAATTTTGTAGGTGATAAGAATGAAGAGAAGGAAAAGGAGATAAAGCAGGAGTTTGGTCAAACCTGTGAGTGGATAAAGAAACGCCTTGGCGACAAAGTCGCCAGTGTTCAAATCTCAAATCGTTTGAGCACATCACCTTGTGTACTTGCTTCTGGGAAGTTTGGTTGGTCTGCTAACATGGAGAGGTAAACTTTTCATTCTTTCAGATTCTGAAGATTGATTTTCGCATTCAAATCTCAATATTATATGAACTTCTTGTAGGCTGATGAAGGCACAAACAGTTGGTGATACCTCGAGCCTCGAATTTATGAGAAGCAGGAGAGTTTTTGAGATCAATCCGGATCATCCGATCATCCAAACCTTAAATGTACGATATTTAATGAATAGCTCTAATATCCTCTTTATAATATTTTTCTTATCCCAATATTCCGGTATGTATCTTGCAGGCTGCATGCAAGAGTAGTCCTAATGACGAGGAAGCCTTGAGGTCTGTTGATCTTTTGTATGATGCAGCATTAGTTTCAAGTGGTTTCACTGTGAGTATCAATTGCCCCCTTTGTCTATTTCTTGTGCTTATCGTTTGTACTCTATTTTATAATTCTAGGAGAAACACACCGGCTGCAAGAACTGAGTTCAGGCGAACTGTATTTTGGCTCCTTAATTACTGACTCATTGAAATTTAAATTTGCACTATCATGAGTTCTGGGAAAGAGATACATTTTTTATTATTAGATTAGATTACTTTCCTAAGGTGATCAAGTAATTATTATTTTGTATACTAAATGGCCTTTATTTGGCTGCAGCCTGAGAGTCCGGCTCAGCTTGGAGGCAAGATCTATGAAATGATGGGCATGGCTCTTTCAGGCAGATGGGGAACATCTGCACAGCAAGTAAACCCCCCATCACATGTCCCAGAAACCATGGAAGCTGAAGTAGTCAAGCCTGCTGAAGCTGGTAGTCAGAAATTATAGAAGTGAGGACTTCCAATCTTTATGCCTTTGTATAAATCCTGAATTTACGGTATAATATGAGATTTAGTTGGAAGTCCAGCATGGAGCAACCTACTGGAGAACTTGCATTACATCACTGTTATGCAAATAATTTACGGTTAACAAAGCAGCAACGTCCGTCTTTTTCCTTCTTGTTAATCGCTTGCTAAAGAGCTGAATAAAACTTTTGACGCTTTTGTGTGTTACGGGTCTGTATGCGCATGCCTATAGGTAGCCTGCTTTCATGGGAAAAAAGGGTTTGTCATCATTTTGGAAAACTGATCCATTTCATATTAGAAATAAATGGAGGGTTTTTCATTTCAGCTTCCATGATTGGCATCCATTTGGACTTACTGTATAAATGTTGTGGATTTAAAGTTCGAAGTGGATTAGAAGAAGAAAGAACTCAACCAGTGTAGTGGACAGCTGCGAGCCCCCCTTTGGCAGCAGCTCCAATGCTCGATGTAGCAATTACTCTTCATATTGAATCCGTCAACCTGCCTTGTGATTCTTTCTCTAAGCTTGCGTAAATGAAATTAGTACTGTACAGCTAACATTCTCTATTTGAATTTGAAAGAATTCTTTACATGTAACAGGAACTAATCGTCAATTTTATGTTCTTAGCTTTGAATTGAGTCGGTCATAGCTTTATTTAACAAAAAAATAGTTTAAATATGTAATGTCTCTCAAAATGCTGGAGCATTAACAATTGTTTGAATAGACATAGTTTTAGAGTTGTTATTACGACTCCCTACCCGCATCCATAAAGGGGGAAAAGGAGAAAGGCATCATCATTATCATACATGTACTTGCTTCTTCGTCATCCAAGTTATTAAAATAAAATGGTTATACAATAAATACAAATGAGGAAATGTTTACGTTGGATACTTAAGACACTTAAGAGATGAGGAAGAGCATGGTTATCGACAGATTTTTTTAAATTATAACTTGGTCAAAGTTTGTTTTGAACTACATATTTTATGAAGTTTATCGTTTTATATAATCTTAAAAGGCTTTGTCAAACATGATTAAATAATTAACTGATTTTAAAAGTTTTGAAAATAAAGCATTTCATAAAGGTGCGTGTTCATTCTGGAATGCTCTAAGAAAAATTTAACACTTTTTTTTTCTTTTTTATCGATAAATGTAAGTTTATATTAATTAAAAATTAATGTACAGGTACTCTAGCTAACAAAAGATGTACAAACGGCCAAGACAACCAACTCAATGGAACTAGCGTGTTTCTTTGATGCAACAAGTTTGTCCTCAAAACTTTTCCTATTGTGGCACTCTAATTCCAATGAATAGATTTTATTTAAAAATCTATTTAAAAACTGTTGGAAGAAAACGATTTGTCCATATGGGTTGACCCAACCTGGTTTGCATGGAAATGAGTTTTGGAGGGAAGAGTTAAAAAATTGAATTTAAAAGTTAACCTCCCCACATCTTCTGAAGAAAGAACAAAAGAAAACTCAGGTTAAAGGGAGTCGAAGAAAATACATGAGGAAAAAGACTTGAATTTTGGAATATAACATCTCAAATTGGGTTCTTGGATTGTGACTATCAAATTCCTTCCATTATGATCGAATTTCTGACCAAGAGGCGGATACAAGATGGTGTGGCAAGCAAGCGAATCAAAGGCAAGTAATTCAACATTGATTTTGTGATTTCAAGTAAGTAACATTACTTGGAACTCGGTTATAAATATGCAAGCACGTTTTAAATTGGTATCATAGCCTAAATATGTTGTTTTCTTGCTTAAACACATGCTCAAAATGTCATAGAATGATTGAAATGCATGAATTCCGTTTTTTTTTCTCCAAAGCTTGAATGTCCTTAATGGCAACTTTTCATGTACTTCATATTACTTCATGAATTTTATACTAAATGTTCATGATATTATGGAGAACATATTTGGAAAATTTCATGTTATTTGGCTTTGTATTTTGGGAGGAAAATTGAACCCTAGTTAAGAAAATCGAAACTTCATCGCATGATAATTTCTTGTACGTTAAATTTCACACAGCCCATTTTATATGATTGGATAGATCTTCTCGATACCTTTCCAATGATGTAAAATTTTGATCTTAAATTGCAGAAGTTATGACCTTTCGAAATTTCAGCAGAAATCTGAAAGAAATTGTCTTTTTTGGGGACGATGAACAGTAATCGGGGAAAAAAAAACCGAAACTGTTGCTGTGGAGTGGGATTCATATTTTGAAAATTGCATGTTGGTCCCTTAATTATTGTAGATGCAATTTGAGAAATTCATGTTAATCCCCATACTTTTAAATATTTCCAAATGCAATTGGAAAGATTCCATGGTAGTCCCCACACTTTTGAATGTTAATTATTCCAAGTGCAATTTGAGAAATTGCATATTAGTCACCACACTTTTGAATGTTTTCAAATGCAATTTAAAAATTTGCATGTTGGTCCCAAAACTACTTTTGGATGTTGTTTATTTCAATATCAATTTGAAAAGTTGTATATTGGTCCTAAAATTATTTTCTTTTGGAAATTGATTATTCGATATTCAATTTAAAAAGATTATAAATTGGTCATGCATATGAGGCTGCATGCGAGACTTGATTTCAATTCTGAAAATTACAAAATTGGTCTTTCAAATATTCTTGATTTCTGTGTTCAATTAAAATTAATTTTCAAACGATCAAAAATATTTTTTTTGGACTCAATTAAATTCTGAAATTTTTTTATAAAGGTCAAGAAAATTTGTTAAGTGGCATTTGCCCAGTGGGAGTTATTTTTTTTAAGTGTTTCATTTTTTTTAAATGAAAAATACTCCTAATGTATTTAAAATACCACATTTTATATACGTTCATGAGTTGTGTGAATCTTGGTTATGTGGTCCATTGTGACTTGATTCAAATTTTGTGTTTGATCATATGTTATTGGATCTATGCACACTTATTGCATCCTTAAAGGGAATGCTAGAGAAACAAGGGTTATGGAACTTGTTAAAAAGTTACGTGCTTACTATAATTAAAAAAAATAAATGGATCTAAAACATAACCTAGTGGAATACGTGAATATTTTTGGGGATATTTTTTGTGATAAGCAGAATATGATAATTCTGATGTCACTTCCAATTTGTTGGAATTGCGTTGCAACAGATATTAAAGCGTATATGATAATCATGATATGTCATAATTGCACATTATGAAATTATATTATTAGATAAATGTGCATATTTATGGAAATGCTCGTGCATTGTTATAAATGTTAAGGTCAGTCGAATTAGTGAGCTTCTTACTAAGACCTATTGATTGTCAGTTGAGTGATAGTTCGAGGATTGGAAGATTTAGAGAAAATCTCAACAAGAACTATCTGATTCACCAACTGAGTGGGGGTTCTGAAGTTGGAAGAATTAATGCAATTCTCACTTAGAACCCATGTAATTTTGCATTATTAAATTAAGTTTATGATAGTGAAACAATAGGATTGCGAACGATGATTGGGAACGTAGTGAACTTTCGACTCTGTGCCTAACGTTGAATTATCGTAAATGTTAATTTGTGTTAATGCAAAATTAAATATGTGCATACATGGGCATTGATTAAGAATAACATGTCTTTAAAAATCTGATAGATCATAGTATCAAAATTTATAGAAGTTAACCTTAATAAAGGTGATAAACTAAATGCGATAACATTTGGCATGATAAAATTTTAAATGTACTAGAAGGACATGATATTTTAGAGAACATCAATCACGTAATAGAAGATCTTATGTAGATCATACTACTCTAGAGAATAAAGATCAAAACTTTGTCAAGTATGGAAAAAATGTGGATTTTATTACTCGAGCATTTAAAATTGTTAAGTTCTGTTATAAATAATCTTCTTTTTTCTCAAATGTAACTTAGTTGGTGGTTAGCATAATGTTAACATTTTCTTGGTCACATTAATTTTAAATGAGTAGTAAGTTCAAACTAGTATTTATGGAATTTTGAAAGTCATTGTGACTTACAAATAGAAGTGTCAATTTTTTTATTGACACTATTTGCTATGTGAATTAAAAGACGTGTGACTTTATGTTGCTAAGTCTTGAGGACATGCTTGTGTAGCAATGTTCTAGCTTGCATAAGACTTTGAATGTTAAGCATTGAATGAGCTAGAACAAATGCTAGATGGATGTGGGAGACTTGTAAAAGGACCAAGAAGAGCTTCAGATAGTAAGTGAATGAAAGTGGTTTTAGTAGAGGATCAATGTTATAAAGGTTCAAGTGCTTCAACTATATGGTTTGAATCTCTTAGCTCGAAAGTGATTAAGTTAAAGGATATTGCACTTGAATATATCCTCTTCGTATTGTTTACGTATCAACACTATACAAATTGGATCTTAACTTGTATAGATAATGGATTCAAGGGTTAGAAACCTACTTCATATGAGATCAAGAAGTATAATAGTCTATTGTTGAGTATTTGACTTGATACGAAATAAATATGTACAAATAGTGAAGATGGAGTGGAGGTTTATGTGACTGGTACTGCAACTTAGTGTTGCAAAGTGGATAAACTGACCTCCTACTTGATATTGAGATAGTATCAAAGACTCCACTAAATTTGATCTCAATTATTGTTCTTCTAAGAGGGGTCTCTTACTTGAACTTGTACGTGATATTTCTGTTCGTACTCACAGTGGTGATATTTATTATGGTTCTAGATATTTGTGAAATTGTTGAGGTTTTGAGTTGAGAAAACCATTCAAAGCTGTAAGAGTTGAACTTCCATAGAATAAATCCATCTGAATTTCTTTGTGGATCGTGATCAAGAGAGAGAGAGATGAAACTTTACTTTTCATTACATTTATAGATGGACTCATGCACTTCAATTATGAGACCGATTTTCTTAAGTTGAAGTTATTGTATTGATTTAGACTTTTATGAAGTCAAATAGAAAATCAGATTATGGAAGTGAAGATTTTAAGAACTGTTTGACAGCGTGACTCTCTATCACGAGATATCAATGATCTATGTAATGAGAGGAACTCTTATTGGATTGGTTATTCTCTAATGTCCAATAATTATATGATGCATTGAATTGAAATAATGAAATATTGCTGAATATGATTACTGATGAGGTTCAAGATATGCAGTACAACTTACGTATTTACTCTTGGAAAGAGCGTTGGCTAACTACGTATCAATTAATGGAGTTCTCTCAATGTTGGTACCTTCAAAATATATAAGTTTTGGACACTAAATAATCGAATATGAGTTATCATAGACTCTTAATTAACTATATATGTTCTCGATAGCGAGTGTGGGAACATGAGTCTATTGAGAACTAAATGTGCTCGATGACATACATGTAATCCAAAAAGGTACTTAAGTGAAATTTTGGATGGATATCGAGTCAAAAGAAGTGACTTTTGACATATTTTTCAGTAAGAGAAAAGATTGAAAAATATCGTTGAAATTGATATTATATATATAGATGAATCAGTTTTGAATATATAAGTGAATATTCATACTTCTTATTCAAGTGGGAGTAATTTATTTTTGAGTTGGACCTATCTATCCGAGTGGGAGCCATCTAAAAACTATCTAATTTCAATGATACTTGGTTTCGAGTGGGAGCTAAGAACCATTTAATATTAATGATTTTTGGTT